GTACAAACCCTACGACGGAATCACGTCTGACCGAACCCGTATTTTACCAGATATTCCTGGATATGTATTCTAGCTATGGTAGTATCGCCAACTCATGAAACCTATCCTAGGCTGTTTTAGATGGTGCCCAAAAATCCGAGGTCTTTAGGCGAAAATTCGATTTTAGACATCTGTTCTAGACTTTGAAGGAAAACTAAGGCGATATTCGGAATCAGCTCGTCGAGCTGCATCGAACCATATATATACAATGCTTTTTAAAACAACTTTTTACCCGTTTTCAAAGCAGATCCAGGCCCGAAACCTTGGCGTTTCGGATTTTGAAAACCCTACAAAGGGATTAAGTCCGATCGAGCTGAAATTTTTATCAAATACTCCTGGATATGTATCCTAATTATGGTAGTAGCGTCAACTCGTGAAACTTTGCCTAAGCTATTCTACAGGATTCCCAAAAACCCACGGTTTTTGGTAGGAAATCTGGTTTTAGACTTCCATATTACAGTTTGACGAAAAACTAAGGTGATATTCGGAATCAACTCGTCGAGCTGCATCAGACTATATATGAAAAGAGTCATTTTTGTGCAAGTCAATTTTTGATAGAATTCGGCGGAAAACGACCGATCATAGGTTTTTGGCGGAAAAATCCAGTTTTACGCATTCATATTAAACTTTGAAGAAAAACTAAGGTGACATTCGGAATCAGCGCATCAAACTACACTGAATGATATGTAATGCAACATATTTTTCAAAAAAAAAGTTTTTCGAAAAAAAGGCTGAGCTCCTCTCCATCTTTTTTTTCTTAAAAAACCTTTTTGTTTTTCTTAAAAACGGTTTTCTGAGCGGTATACTGTCATTTCTAGTCAAATGAAAGCCATTCCAAAGCAAAAAAGCCGCATGTCCGCCTGCTTATGTGAAAGCTCCCCACTGTGAGACGATATGTATCTGACATGACGAAGGAAAGAATCATTGTGTATGACATTGGAAGGGAATGAATCATTGTGTATGACGAAGGAAAGAAGACAATCATATGTAAAGAAAAGAAAATGTAACGGCCTACTTTACATCACAATAAGAATGACGCCACAACGTGTACAGAGGCTCTTTCAAACACAAAATTAGTCAGAAGGGAGGTAAGATGAAGGCGACCTGAAATGCGAGAGCACAAAAAGAGGAAAAAAAACATTTATTGGAAGAATCCAAGAGAACACACTACACTCAAAAAAAATGAGCGTATAATAATAAACCTTCAAAAGGATTTATTAACCTCATAAAACCTTTTGAATGATTTATTATTCTACGCCCATTTTTTTGAGTGTAGAGAACAACCCCTGATAGTTGAAAGTAAAACATTTTTCTCCAACAAGATAAGTATAAAAGAGAGTGTTAGTATTCATAATCATTCATTTATTTCGTTAAATTCGAGCTGACAAAGTTCTAAGGTAATGTGCGAAACAAATCTTTTCTCCGTTTTAGGTTGAAATGCATTTACTCCTAGTAGAATCTCATCAGCAAAAATAGATTTTTAAGGAATAACTGAGCAATACACAGGTGAATTCAATGCAGAGATAACTCAAATAGTAGAATGCGTGGTCAATTGATGCCATGGATTAGCATGAAATCTTTTTAGTATATAGCCTCAAATGAGATATGAAAATACATAACATTTTTTCTTTCTCTCTCTCTATGTATGGTATATATTCTTTCTTCGACTACGTTTATTACAGTTCAGTTTCTTTCGTTGTCTGTAGACAGAGTTCAATCCAATTCATCGAGTGAGCTCACAGTATCCTTAGATAAAAATGAGAATGATCATTGTGGTACCCATACCTTGTATTAGGGATGCACCGGTTTCGGTTTCGGTTCTTATCGGTTCTAATCGGTTCCGGTTTCGGTTCCAATCGGTTCCACCGGTTCCGGTTCTTTGGAACCGATAAAAACCGGAACCGTGCATCCCTACCTTGTATGATTCGCCATTATTTAAAAATAACGTTTTTAGTCATGAACTTGTGCGAGTGTATGCTGCTATAGATACCTATACACTGAAACACTCAAAAACTACTGATGGACGGTAAGACATGACATACGTTATGCCTTAATTTTTATTTCGTCCTTAGCCGCCTAAAGCTATCCTTTCTTATTTTTGATGACATAGAAATGGCTTGAGTAAAAACTTTTCCATTGATATTGCCGTGTTCTTTTTATTGTATCGTTCACACAATCAATCTCGTCAGCATTGATCAATTCATGATATCTTAAAAATTCTATCATCATTTGCTTTTTTTGGTTTTTCAGAAAATGCAATCATCAGCTGATGAAGATACATTGAGACTATGTCTCTCAAATATTATCGACGCAATTGATAAATGTATTCAAAAGTTAAAAAATCAAAGATGGGTACCAACAACAACCGAGATACAGCCGCAATCACCATTCGATAACTTGAACGACGATGACATCTTCTCTACAAAGGGCTCTCTTAGGACGGACATCGGTAAAGTCACATTAGATGGTGTGGAAAACGAGCTCCTCGATTCATTGACAGAAGATATCGAGACTGAGCTGGGCGAATGTCTCCCAGACCTGACACCAATATGTTTTAATTCTTTTACCGATTTTCTGCATCAATATGACTATGATCGAGTGAGGCAGAAATTTTCTTCTACATTGACAAAAAATGCAATTTGTTCAATGAAACAAGAATTGAAAGGATTATTAGGTAAGTTGACGGCATACTCTTGTTTAAAATAGAAGAGCACTGTAGACATTCAATAGCACTAGTCATAGAATTGATTGACTTATTCGGCATTCCTACAAACTACAAAGATCAGTAGTGTCTCATTTTCAGATGAAAAATGAAAATTTAAAATAATGTCATTCACTATTTTAGCATCCAACGCAGCCTTTTTAGCTGCCTCAACTGGCAAACAGGCTATTGTCAAGAGCTTTATTGAAGAATATCCGACCTTTAAGGACAATCCAAGTTTATGGGGAACCACACTGCTTTACACAGCTGCGCTGAACGACCAGTTTGAGATGGTTAAATATCTGGTAGAAAAAGCTCGTTGTGCAGTGAACGCTAGGAATTGGCATAACGGGAATATCGATCGATCACCATCGGCTGTCAACACAAAAAATCCAATGCCCGGCGCGACTGCTCTTCATGTTGCCTGTTCTAATGATCATTTAGCAATTGTCAAATATCTTGTCGCGGAAAAAAATGCCGATTATTTTATTAAGAACCAAGCAAATAAAACACCAATTGAATATGGTGAACAACACCCGAATGTCAAACAATTTTTTCAAGATTATCTAATCGTTAGTTATTCCAGTTCATTATCAACTAACCTACCACACAAACCTATACTAGACGAAGATCGACCACAACAAGATTGTATTTGGGAATATAAATCATTGCAAAAGCCTGAATGGCACAAATTTTCGTCCGATGCAACTCAGATATTAGATCAGGCACTCATTTCGATTAGAAAGTTTCAAGCTGAGGTTCAGTTAAGAACGCAAGAAAGCTTGTTTACTGTTTCAATGACCAAATTTCTTCGATCAGACAAGACCGATCCGGATGCACAAGAAAAACAAGCATGGATCCGTTGTCGAGCTTCGAGTGTTCTCAATTTTAACATCGATGCAATCTGGCAGCTAATGTTCATACGATATCCTGAAGCGACGAAAAAACCCACATCCTTATTGAACATTACTCATATGACCACGATCTTCGATAGTAAGTTCAACATCGACCTCGATAAATGGTACACGTGCGACACAGGAACCAGTTTATTGTTTAATAATTCAATGAATTTGCGTCGAAAGGTTATTGCGACCGACATCCCCCTTGGTATGAAAGACGAACCTCTCCATTTCAACTTACATACATTTACATTCGCGAATAACGACAAAACAGTGGTTGGATATTTACGATGGATCCCAAAGTTGATTTCAAGCGATGAGCGAAACAAGGGCAGAATTCGCGAGATTGATAATTTCCAGTCAACGAACAATGTCAAACCAATTCCGCTTACTACAGAGCGTTCGATACATGAAAGGACTGATGACGAGGAGGAGTTTACGGATGAAGAAGTAGATACGCGTGATTACGATAATGATTTTGATAATGGTAATGAAAATGGTAATCATAACCGTAACCGTAATCGTAATCATAATCCTAATGAAAATGATAATTATAGTGACAGTGATATTGATAATGACAATGATAATAATCGTAGTAATGATGATGAAAATGATAATAATCGTAGTAATGATGATGAAAATGATAATCATAATCACAATGATAGTCACAATCGTAATCGTAATCATCATCATAATGAAAATGATAATGACAATCATGATGATACTGACAATGACAATAGTAACGAGAATGCGAGCATGGCCACAAAAAAGAAGGTATGTTTGCCAAGTGAAAGTTTTGCTGCATCCAAAATAAGCAT